AGTGTAATTTTCATTTATTCCATCCCTTCAGCTCTGCCCTCAGAGCTGAAGGGAGGAATCTGCTACAAGTGGCTGTTAAAAAAGAAAGACAGCCTTTAGAGTACATGAACTGGAGCACATGATCTAGATCACAAGCGACAATAGTCCCAGTCTATTCTATGCAAATCCGGCTGCATCTATATCATGTTCTTAGTGCTACATTTTAAAAAGTATAGGAACAAAATGGACCTTGTCAGGAAGATGGTAACCAGGATGGAAATCAAAGCTATGAGGGACAGTTGAAAGAACTGACTGTGTTTAGTCTGAAGAAGCAAGATTAAAGGGAGACATGATGGAAATCTTCAAATATCTGAACTGATAATCCTTGGAAGGTGGTGAAGACTTGTTTGCCATTCCTCCTGAAGGCATAACTAGAATCAGTGGACAGAAACTAAATGGAAGCAGATTTAAAGTAAACATTAGCAGATAGCCCCAAAAATAACATCATACAGCAGACTGTCTCAGGGCCACTTCTTCAGTGGAGAGATATAGGTGGAGGATTGGTGACGAGTTGTCAAGAATTCTGAGGTTGCACCTTATGAACAAAAGACTGGATTAGATGACCTTCAAATTCTCATCTAGCTCTATAATTCCATGGCCTAAATCTCATGTGATACTTGAGGTATCCCAGAATTTGGAAACTTTTGAATGGGAAGAACTACAACTCCCAGAGTACCAAATGCCATGCCTCACTGGCTGAGGGATTTGAGGGTTGTTTTGGCAAGAAAATTGTGGATTTTATGTCCTTGTTCTTTCTCTCTTGTGCCAAGAACAAGTTTCAGAAGGTTTTCAGGACCAGGTGCTTGGGTTTTCAAAAGGCCTGCATTTTACCCAGGATTCTAGCCTTCCATGAACAAAAGTTCAACACTTCATAGAACCCAGCCATTCTAAACTTCACATAAGTATTTTTGGCTTCTGTCAGAAGCAAAACATTGGATTTGTTAGACCTTTATCTATTCAGCTAAGTTCTTCATATGTCCCTAGATTCCCTGGCTATTTGATCACCTATCCAAAATAGAAGGTCTTGCCATGAAAACTGAGACAGGGCAGCCAGATCACATCAATGCTCTTTTTTGCTGGAGCCCCAGATAACATATGTGTAAGTTATAGCCAGCTTCTATGGAGTTCTTTTACACTCTACAGTTTCCATGATGTTTCTGACCTGTCTTTTTATCTTTTCCTTTTAAATCAACAATTGGCTTTAATTCTCATCACCATTTCATAAACTACAGTACACCCTTTGACTTGAAAGTGTTTTCCTAGAGACAATATATATATCTATATACTGTATATATATTGGCTATCCAGAAGGAAGCCTCACTGATTTTGATAGATCTTACTCCTAGGGAAAAAAGGTAGAAGATTGCAGCTAAAATATGTTTATTATAGCAGACAGGATGCTAAAATGCCTCTGCTTTATTTTTTAAAAAGTCATCAGCTCAATGTACTTGAATACCCCTCCTTTACCCATTCCTATCATGTAAACTGATTGTGTTGTTTCAAAGACAGCTGCAAGAGTTCTGTAAAAAGCAAAAGTTTAAAATATTCATGACAACATATTTGTACAAAGATTCACGCTGTTAAGTTTTTAAGGTTTGCAGATGAAGGAGACCAAGACAACAAATTTTCTTCAGAATTAACATACATGAGCATGACTTGAATTAACAACAGGCACGATGTCATACATCTAAATACATTTAGTATAAAATGTATTTACAAAAACAGAGACATCTCATTAACATGGGTTGGGGGCAGAACATTAAAATCTCCAAAGCATAGGTCCTGAAGAGAAGTACCTGCCTTTCAGTTCAATTCTAATAGGCAACCCGGTGCCTTTCAGATGATTTGAACTGCATCTGCTATAATCCTTGATTACCAGTCATGCAGAATATTGTGCAGAGTCTGGAAAAACTGTGGTTTTTTTTTTTTTTGACTGCAGCTGTCAGAATCCCATCACCTACAAGCCCAACTTTGAGATTCAGAGAATATAGCTTGTCTTTTATCAGTTCTTCCCACAAATCTTTCCCAAGTTTATTCTGTAAAGCTGTAGCAGAAGGTGAAATATCTACTCAATTCTCACCTGTTCTTTCTAGCTTCCTGTGATAGCAAGTGTAAATCATTTACCATCTGCTGTTCCTGTGAGGGTTACGCACCACTTGCCAGCTTCCGATTGGTCCCGTTCCTCTCAGGTAATACAAAGTAAAGGTGGACTACTTTTCTCTTCCCTTTAACAAAGACCAGAACCAGTTCACAGGTTTGTTTGGAGCACTCAGCATTGGCTTGATACAGTATAGGTTACATAGAACTGAATGGTCTTTCATTTTTAAAATATTGTACTACCCCCTCCCTTTTTTTTCTTTTTGATCTCTGCTCCCTTCGGTTTAAAAACATTGCTGTACAATGGTTGGTTAGCTCAGTGAGTTGGAATACCTAGGCCAGGAATCAGGATTTTGATTCCCTGCTTTTCTCAGAAGAACCAGCCTGTGTAGCCTTGAGCAAGCTATACACAGTCCCAGGGCACCCATATAAGAAGGGGCTGGTAAATTACGTTTGAGTACTTAATACTTAGGAAACTCTGAGAAGGGTCACCATTGGAATTGACTTGGCAGTACTCTTTATTATTATTATTATTATTATTATTATTATTATTATTATTATTATTATTATTATTATTATTATTATTATTATTATTA